TTCCCATTTCTATTACCTTACTTTATAGGCCCTAATCACCTCTTTCCTAGATTCCCATGCTACCTCCCAGTTTGATTTCCTTCTGTCAATATCGTTGTTTTCAAAGTTACTCTTCACACAGCTGCCTGAGTGATATACGCGACAATCTAACAGCATCTCCTCTGGCTTACACCCTTCAGTGGCTCCCTGTACTAGGTGAGGAGGCATCAATTCAGCGTGGCACCATGCCCTCCCAACCTGGCCTTGCCCATCTGTCCAGCCTCATCTCCTCCCATTCCTTGCCTAATGACAAAAGTGCACAACTGTTTGCCATTTCCCAAACACTGTCTGCTGTTCCTCACCCTGAGACCTCTGCTTATGCTCCTCCCTCTGCTTGGAATGCCCACTCCTGACGCCCTTCGGATTCCCTCTTGGCTATCTTCTCACCATCATTGGAGACTCACACAAAGGAACATGGAATAAGGACATCTTGAGTCTGTGAAGATTGAAAACTACTAGCCCCTGGTCCAAAGTTATCCCATCGTTTACCAAGTAAAGCAATAGGATCGTGCTTTCTAGCTAGTTTATTCAGTTGTATAAGTAACCAATCTAAAATTTCTTTGAATAGGACATTAATAATCTTGCATAATCATTGGAGGAATGAAAGGAATAAGAAAAAACTTAAATTTAGGCTGTTTAACACCTGGTCACCCAACAAAAAGACACAGGAAAGGTTCTGGGTAGGTACTAAGAATCCAGAGTTTCCTGCTGTCATATAACATCTAGTAACAACTTTAATTAACTTTAGACTTCACAGTGAATCAGGTTAGTATCTACCTTCCTTTTAAATATAGGAACAATCTAATCATTTACTATGCAGCCAGCAGAATGGCAATGAGTTTTTGGTCTCTCATAAAGGCCACCTTTTCATTGCTACGGTCATACCTAGAATTTCAGAACAAGTCTTGGTTCATTTCGACAGTGTAGAGAAAAATACGTCAGAATTTAACACCTCAGATTTAAGTCAGGAAATTGCAGGCTTTAATATACGTGGGGGAAAAAAAGCAAACTTTGAGGGTTTTTTGTTTTTGTTGTTTGGGTGAGGCAACCCTTGGCTGACCTAACAGATTGCAAGGACCTTGTCAGTTTACAATCCCTTATTTTTTGATGCCTATAGCACTTGATTTCCTAGGTGGTCTCCCATCCAAGTACTAACCAGGCCCAACCCTGCTTAGCTTCCGAGATCAGATGAGATGGGGCTTGTTCTGGGTGGCATGGCCGTAGATGCAAACTTTGAGTTTGCAATGTTAAAGACACACAATGGAGCAAGTTCTCAACATCCAAATGGTCTCAACCAAATAAAGGTGAATCTGAATTATCTACAGTAGGAGGGAGAGACCTCACGCAGACGCGAAACATTAAAGATTGTATTAGGCATCAGTCACCCAAATTTATGACAGACACTATTGAGAAAATTCAGAGTCAGATGTATCTTTGCTAAGAGCTATCACCTTATCTTCGTGGCATTAACCAAGAATCAGAGAATGCCAGTGGGTGAGACATACAGGGCCTGGAATTTAGAAAATGAATTTTTAACATTCTAAATTTATGACAAAGCAATACTTGGCACTAATCAAGAGAAGTTTGAAAAAGGGAAGTATTTTGAAAAGCAAGCGGAAGAAAAGCTTTTGAAAGGCTTTTCTCTATGAAATTAGGTTTTAAAAAGGATTTTAGTCAAAAGTACATGCATGAGTGCTACAATTAAAATAAATTCAGCTTCATTTCAATTCATTTATTCAATAATTTATTCCACAAACATTTATTGAATACTATGTGCAAAAATTGGAAGAAATGAAATTTTAAAGACAGATAAGACACCCCTGAGACGCTTCTAAATTAACCATTCTCTGTTTTCCAAGGGGATGGAGGGGAGGTCTCATGAATAAGAATAATTAACAGAATTCAATAACATGTCTAGTCAGGAATGCGGATCTCCGAGTCTCTGTCCTTTGCTAACTGACATTTGGAGATGTCATAGTTACAGAATAAAGGAACACAAAATACACATAGATATAGTAAGTACACATCCAAAGGTCATGAGACGATCTCAATTTTAATTATCCATTCCCATTTTCTCTAAAAGTATGCTCGTATTTGTCCAATTATGTGGCCAATTTGACTTGGGAAATACAGCCAGCTTGGCAGAGGCACTGGGAGAGGGTATCTAATGACCTCCTGGGCTCTCTCGGAGGAAGGACAGGAAATGGTGAATTAAAGGGTCCTTAAGTTAAGCAGCACTGAATTCACGGGTCATGAAAGCTAAGCTATTATGGCACTGAAGAGATTTGAGCAGAAGTTCAAGAAAACAGGAGAGTACAGAACAAAGGAAACCAGATAGACTATTTTCAGGAGAGGAGCTCTATAGAGACATTTCTTTGGGATTTGGTAGGAAGTGAAAATGTGACAAAGTGAAAGGAGAAAGAAGGAAGCTCATCCTGACCTTTACTTAAAGGTCAAGATAACTTACACAAAGACTTGCATCAACACCAGATTCTTCATTTTGGAGCTCTAAGCAGCCTTGGTGTAATTTTTTTTCCCTTTCTTTCAGAAAATAAACTGTCCCACTGGGGGGGCGGGCGGAGAATAGTCTTGAATATCTTACAGGGTAAAGTGGTTATCACTGTACCACAAATAGATAAACTGGTTTAACCATATCTAGTCCTTAAAAATATGCCCTTAAATTAAAGTCCATTCTAGGGAATATGTCACAGTCCTACGTAAATGATATTTACGCAGAATGACTCTATTCTCTGGGGCTATTTTGAGTCAGAAAAATCTGGATTTGAACTTGCTTCTGCCAGTGGCCGATTGTGAAATCTGGGTCAAGCCATTTGAACCTCTCTGAACCTGCATTTTCCCATCCATCTTCTTTAGGGAGATTTTAGGAAGATTAAAGTGACTCAAAGTTATATTAAAGTGCTTTGAAAATGATTATATTATATATAAATGATAATTATTAGTACTCTTTACCAACACTCTTTAGTTTGGTTTTCATGGTATGGAAGGAAAGTATGCTAACAGCGAACAAGACATACCTCTTGACCAATGAGATACAAAGATTATTACACAATGGCAACGATCACATAGTATAAAAATATTTTCACCCCTGGGTAAATACAATTCTATTTATAATGTCAATTCCAACTTTTCTTCCTGTTTGACTTTGACCCCTAAAATAATTAAAGATTTAACATAAATGGATATTAATGATGATTCTCAATAAAGCAGAGGAAAATGTTTTTTCTATGCATGGTCTTCATCGCCAACTTGTCTTACAAATAAGACCAAAAACGTTACCATGAAAACCAAAACATGCTGCCTCCTGGATGGTACTCATGTGACACCCTGGTTGTATTTCTAACTTACGTTTTTACCAAAGAGTTCCAGAGTATCCACTAAATAGACTTTAAGAGGATTAAGACAATCCTTGCCCCAAAGGCATTCACCATCATGGTAGAGGGAGGTGTTGGGAAAAAACTGATAAAAAGGCAAAGGGTCTGGAAATTCTATGGGAAAAGCCCAAAGTATTCTGAGAACATAGACCAAAGATAAATTACTTCCAAATGCAGTGATCTAGCAGGGCTGTGAGGAAAATTATTTTGAGCAAGGTCATGGAGAATGAGTAGGACTCCTTTGTCAAACATGGCAGTGAAGGGATGGGGCTTAGCAGCTAAGCTAAGGAGTAAACTTGAGCTTGACCCAGAAAGTGGATGAGAGCAGGATGCATTCAGAAACAGCTATGATAGCGTGGCTGGAACGCAGGTACAAGAGATGAAGTTGTAAAAGCAGGTTAAGAGAAAATTGTGGAAGGTTTTCAATACCCAGCTAAGGAGCTGGAGTTTTTTTTCTACTTGCAGAAATCCAATGCCATGATGGGTCTTCGTTCTGGAAAGATGTACAACTAGAGTTAGTACGGAGGATTTATTGGAAGGGTGGGGAAAAGAGTAAAGGGAAGCCGCCTAGATAAGGAGCTCTGGCCACAGGTCAGGGCTATCAAGAGCTAGAAAGAAAGAAGTGGCAGCAGAAAGCACTGAATGAGTGGCAGTTTGCTTTTTCATCTCCTGGTGACATACTCCCTGAGGGTACTATTTCTCAGATACACCCTGCTGCCTAGATTAAGATATCTTGGTGCCTTGGGCTAAACCAAAGAGATGAAAGTACTCAAGTCCCATAAATTTGAACAATTGCTCCTTTAAAGACTTGCCCAGTGGCATTTGTCTAAAGAAGGCACACTGAATTAGGAGTGATCATGTGTAAAAAGCCTTTCTTGACCAAGGGACCTATGATATAATAAATATAATACAAAAGTAAAAGTCCAATGATTTGCATTTTCCTGACACCACACAATATCCCAGATTTTTACATCTTTGTCCTCTCTGCAGTCATCGCAAATTTTCTTAAGTCTTTTACTTCTACAATTTCTAGTATTTTTATATGAACATCTTTTTCAGGTGATGATTGACAACTGGAATCATCTCACTATTCTGTTATGATGGTGAACATAAATGATGTCTGTATTTGATGATGAGAAATAAGATGAATCAATTTGTTCCCAAATATGACCAAGCCGATGAACCAACGTTCTTAAATGCTTCGAGAGAGATAATATGGCCAAACATATGTACAAATTGTATAATCATAAAATTAAATGACCTGCTTTGTTCTTAAATTCTACTCTCAAATAGAAAATCAATGCCTCTGAAACACATGCAACCAATCAAATACCACCGTGCATCAGCATTAATTCCTTTAACACCTAAAATATGAGTTCTTCATTATACTATTGCATTCATTTTCTTCTTTCAGATAATGAAAATAAGAATCCGTAAATGGTGCTAAACAGATTACTGGAGAAAACAATTAGACATAGAACGACTCTAAGTGAAGATTCCTGGCACTTTTCTCTGTGTGCAAGTGTATGCACTCTGCATACCAATGACAAAGCTAGAAAGAAAACTCACCTGTTTTCTTCCTCAAGATCTGCTAGGATTCTCTCTAGTTCCCCTCTTTCCTCACTCTCTAAGGAAATCAAGATCTGGGCAGGACTACGAGGCTGGCTCAAGGGGGAGTCCTGGTTCAAACTTTGGCAGTAATGCTGGATTAACAAATGTTCATCATCTCTGGAAAATAAAATCAAAGGTTTTGTTTTTTTCCCCCTTATTTGCTTTGAGGGTCAGGGACTCGGGTGGGTATTTAAATATAGAAACATTTATTTGCTCTTAACAATTAATTAGATCCTTTTTCCGGTTTCTAAAGACATTTTGATACTGTTGAGGTTGTGGTCTACCATCCTACTGGTGTATTCGGAGTGTTTCTTGCTCTATTTCCGATTGAATTTGACTGGCCTATTTACATGGGTAAATGAACGGCAGAATTACAGAAATACTGAGACTCTATGTCAGCAGTTTAACCAATAGTTAATAAATATTAAAAGATATAACAATGGCTGTATAATGCTTTTTTTTTAACAATGCTTTTGCTACCAAACCTGTGAAGATAATCTGTTCGCTAAACCACACTATTGTTGATACTGACCATGAAAAAACTGTAGCTCTTAAAATAATAGAGTAAATATTCTGTTCAGTGGATGGCAATGTAATCAAAAAGGGTTGCTTAAGTAAGCCTTGTTTGAACTTATAAAAGCCACAGAGGCAGGATGGTAAAAATAATGAAAAATAATGAAAAATATAAAAGCCACAGAGGCAGGATGGTAAAAATAATGAAAAATAATGAAAAATATAAAAGCCACAGAGGCAGGATGGTAAATAATGAAAAATAATGAAAAATATAAAAGCCACAGAGGCAGGATGGTAAAAATAATGAAAAATAATGAAAAATAATGAATCAAAAGATTGCTTGATTCAATTATTATTTAGATAGAAAAACAAAAATTGAAAGGAAAAAAAGCCATTTAAGGTGACTAAAAGAAAACTGAACAACTCATTCTTTAGAGTGACTTTTAAGGACTAATCTTGGGGAACCAAGAAGCAAAAGGCTTATTTATATTTTGGGAGGCAGCGACAATCTTTCCTTGAAACTAGGAACTCTCTACTAAACAGAAGAAATTATTTTCTAAATGCACTGCTCATAGCTCCTAAAAAGACTGTGTACCTCCAAGCTGTATGAACTTTGTTCCGAGGGGGAAAAAAAAGACCACCTCTGTGTTCTTAGACTGAAGCTCTGTTTGGCTAAATACCATTAAGATGAGAGGTTAATAATATTCCCCTCCTCACACCCACTTTATTTCTTTTTCTCATCTCCATGTCTTCTGAGTTGGAAAAAAAAATTCAGATGTTTAGGGAAAAATCCCGATTTATATGATTTTGGTCCATCAAGCCAGGTGATTGGATGAAAAGTGAAAAGCTGACTAAAAATAATTATTGGGTGTTAAAAATAAACATTTAAATGAAGTAGACCAATCCTCCAAATCACTTCCCAGACCTACCCCCTAAAATCTCATGATTTTACCACCTAACGAGGCAAAATGGATTTTATGTCCTGAAAATGAGTTAAAGCTAAATTTCATTTAAAAATACAACAAAAGCCGTTTTACCACCTAATTTATTATTCCTCTTCCCAAATTCTGAAATTTATTGCCAGAATTTCCCATTTTTAATTATAACAGATAGCTATAATTAAATTTCTCTTACTGTTCTCTTAGGCAGTCAATGAATGGCAGCCATTATTATATATACAGATACAACTTGAATTAATTCGAATGTGCTAGAGCTACTAATATTAAAATCAGTGACCCAAAGAAGCAAATCATTCAGGTTGTTTACATTTGGCTCATTCTTTGGTCACATATTTTCCTGTCAAAGTATTTTATATGTTAATACTATTAATACTTTTCCCCATAGCTAAGAAAGAGAATGCACCACAGCTATGTTTGGGGAAAAGGTTGTTTTATTTTGTTTTAAGTAAGTCATACAGAAATGGTGGAGTGTTGACTTGATTCTTTATTATCTTAATCGCCTTTTTGTATCAGATGAGATGATTTATTCCCATGTCTTCAATAACCAGTGATGTATAAATGCCACTGACACTATCACACTCAGCCTAATCCTTCTAAAGGTCTTTTTCTCATCTGAGTGTAACTTTGGGTTGCCATATCTACTACATATGATAAATTTACTATTCTTCCCTTTGCCTAGATTTTCCATGACAAAGGAGTGAGACATCCATAAGTGTTATCAAACTAAAAACATCATTGTACTCTGACTAGACTTCATCTCTCTAACTCATCTATTCAGTTAGCAGAGCCTTATTTTTTTTTTCCCCCATCATTTTAGCTTCTTAATCTGCTTCCTCCACCTCAGGCCTTTCATTCATGGCGAATTTCCTCTGTCTTCCTTATTGTGACCACCCCCGTACTCTATAATGAAGCCCTGTTTCCCTGCCAGAGCTGTGTTCTCTGCCACTTTTAACATCACTCGCTCTCCTTCCTTAAGTTGGACACAGCTGGCTTATCATCCCACAAAAAAACCTGTGACCTGTTACTAGATCGTCTCACTTTATTTAGCTCGTGAAGATGCTAAATCACAAAAATCTACTACTTCAGACTTCTGAAGGAAACTAACCTACCATAGGGGAATACCAATGCAACTATACCAAGATTATATATCTCCACTACCCATGAATGGAGAAAATACCAAGCCATTGCTTAAAAAATTTATATCCAACCCCTTTACATATCTGGCAGGTCTGGTCAGAAATTAAGCATTTAATTAAAGTATCTGGAACTCTGCAATTTGTGATAATATGGTATTAAATAAGAATAAGGCAAATTGTGTTTGCTACTCTGGAATACCAATAATGCCACATTTGGATGAGCTCATTCTGTGTTAGGTTAAGAATTACGGGAAAAAAGAGTAAATGAATGGCTCCTTGAAAGATCAAATGCATATAATGCTATTTCCTATCTTCTGTGCTACCCTACCTCTAAATCCCTCAAAGCAATTTCATCTTCAGGAACATTTTGTAAAAAGAGACAGGATACTTACATGCTCTCATTAGGAGAGATGCTATCATTTAGATAAGATCCATTGCTGTTTTCCATTTCTGCTAGCCTGATAAAAAACGTAAAAGCTCATTAAAACTTATGTGACTTCTTAGAATCTATTCAAGACCTAATCGAACATTCCTGAAAACTAAAGGATAAATCACGCCAAGAGGAGAAAGGAATCCTTCAAATTAAAGGATGTGTGTGTTGGCCTAACCATTTGAAGCAGTGAGTAGTAGACCACAGCTAGTTAGTAGCTTTACATTTATGCTATAAATTACAAGGGAAGTTGTATTTTGTTGTTTTTCCTTTTTTCTTCGCAGATCGATCTTCCTTTCACTGAGGACAGGTCATTGTCTTCACAAGAAAAGCTTCCCTCACAATAAATACACTCTGTACCTTACACTACCCCTTGTTTTTTTAAGACCGTCAAAGCTTTCCACTGACAACAGACATATATAGCTAGTTAACGCTTCCCATGGTTGATAAACATGTTCAGCAGTGAGAATATCGATAAAGGATGGATTCACAGTAGTGCTCTACACATTCTGCTACCAATTTTTTACCTTTGAAAACCTCCTTCACCTCAGACAATAATAAAGTCTTTTTACAACTAAAAAAAAAAAAAGTTAACCATACTCTTACAGATTTAACGAGCATAAGATATCTTATTATTAGCAATTTAGTTTTTAGGAATAAAAATTATCTCAAACACAAAGAAAGTGAGACAGAAAGGTCCAAGGATTAGGGAAATCAATTATTCTCTTCTTTATAGCATATTATGTAAAATAAACACGCAAATGGAAAGCCAATGCTTTCATATTCTCCACATAACATAGTACCATTTCTTCACATATGTATGTCTGGTCCAGCAGTTTTCTAAGAAGCTTATACGATGTCTAAGCCAATTTATTAAACGTGCTCAGTATACGAAACATAATAAAACTACCAGAAATGTTTAAAGGCCAGGGTTAGGGGAGATTGTTCTGGACTAATGCTTTTACTGGTGTCCAAAATCAACATGCAGTGGAATGGCATGCACGTTAGAGGGCAAGTTAATTAGTAGAAATCAGACAAGATTGGGGGGAGGGGAAGATTCATTTAAAATTATTATAGGTTAGCTTTCCTTGGTTAGTTACTTTAATCAATATTTGCCTGGCATTCAACTAGTCTCATACCTGCTAGCATAATGTTCAATGCGTGAATGAGTATCATCGTGTGAAAGCTGAGGGGACGAGGCAGGCCTATAAGGCAGAAAATGTGATTAGTCACAGATACCATCCATTAATGGAGAAAAAAACCCCACCACACAGTTATGTTATATACATGGCCTAGAATGCTTTTATTCTAATTCTATGGACAATGTACACCTTTAGTTGTTCCTATTTTAGATATCATCCAGTATTTTAAATCCAGGTTTGAGAGAAGAATTCTCATGCTTCTACTGTTATCAAAAGCCATAAAGAGAGATCAAAAACTTCTGTGGAAAGTTTCAATTTTAGAAAAGGTTGAAGGAGACCATCTCTACGTGACATTTTGCCCTCCTACCTTGTAATCTCATATCCTCTAGCTCTGAAATTGTTTTAGCACTATGGGGCTTGAAATTTTCAACAGTTTACACTTGTGTCATTTATTAGATCCCTTCTTACTGAACGTTTGCCTAGTACATTCACAGTCAACAATTTTTGGCCACTCCAGTCCATGACTTCTTAGGACTCCATGTATCGAGATGTCTTGGTCTGTGCAATTTTGTAAAGAAGGACTACATCTACCAATTTAGCAGCAGGACTAGATTACTACTTCAAAGAATAAAACTGAATGACCCAAAATTATATTTCAATGTTTTTTAAAAGAATGACTAAATTCAATAGAATGTCACAATGTCTGAAAATATTTCTTATTAGGGATATGATGTGCTAATTAATATGCAGAGGGGAAAACAAGAGAAAGGAATTAATTAGCATGAATAGTCTATATACTTCTTGGGTATAAAAATTCCCTTTTTTTTTCTTTAGCTCCATAGACTAGAATTTTGGTAGGGTTAACATTTTTTTCTACCCTTTCATATCTGACTTATTAATTATCCTTGAAGTTGTTATAGCAGCTCTGGATTAACCTTAGGAAAAAAAAATCCATCTGTTTTGAAGACTAGGTCGGGCTTAGTCTTAGAAAGCCCCTAGATAAAGACATGAATCCAAAAGTCAACAGTAATCTATTCAGTGAGGAGTGGTTTAGTCCAACATCCAAGCAGCATTCAAGGACTTGGTAGGAACACTAAGAAGATATTTGTTTTTTGTTCTTACATAAAAAAAAACAACCCACATGCAGTTACCTAGATTTACATAGGGAATGTGCTAGAAATCCGTACTTCTTAAAACACAGTCGTAAGATGATTACAATACACTACAGCAAATAACTAGGGAGCTGAAGTCTTCCCTGAGAGATAAATATCTTATTTATGAAACCAATTTATGTCAAGAGAAACCATAATCAAATTTGCAATAAATCACAAAGACGTTTAAACTATCATGAAGAAACAAAAGGATGACTACCCAATTTACTAGGCAGATCCAAAAATTTCCATGTGAATCTTCACTATAGGTTTGGAGAGTTAATCTGCTAGTTTCTTGGAATTCCGAAGCAGCCCATTATTAGAAAAATGCTAAGGTTTGTTTTGAAATATTCACTGCAAGTAAAGATAATTTAAGTACTTGCATTATTTGGTTTAGAAACCCTATCTTCTAGAACAGACCAGTCTTTTAGTTATATACTTCTTATAAGCTAAAAGCCCACCACCAAGAAAAATATATTGTTTTCCCTTATAATAGTATAGAGAAGAAAGAAAGCCTGAGACCTTGGTGTAGCATAACTACACCAAGAAAACTAGGCATGTAAATCCAAAACACTTTAATAAAATCTGATACAGAAAATCTTATGCAGAGTTTTAATTCTTAGCTTTGAGGATAATTCCATGTTATTTTTTTTTTATTAATGCACCTTGCACCTAGCACCTAACACAGCATGCACAAGCACGAGAACTCATAATAACCAGAAATCTAAAAAATATACACACTAAAGGAGGTACTTATTAAACCAGAAAATGAGTCAAAAGGGAGTAATGGTCAGGGAAGAATCATTTAAAAAACAAGAATTAGTAAAAGTACAAAACCACTTAGTCCAGCAACAAAACTAAATGCAAGCTTTCTAAAACACTTTTTAAAGGGAAGGTAAGAATACTCTTCTCCCTTCCCACGTCCTAAATACAAAATAAATCCAGAAGGATTTTTTCTGTTTTCCTTAATGGCCAATTCCATTCCACCCACCATTATTTTCTCTTTTGTGAAAACTCCACTAATAAGTTTTCATCTATTTAGGTCTCAAAGCTCAAAGAATATTGTTTGACTGTCTCATTTGTAGACAAACAATATAAAAGGTTTATGCTAGATTTAGTTTCAAACAATATGACAAATCCAGGTAAATAAAGGTTTTGTCTAGGAAAAATAAAAGATCTGTATCTCAGTAAACTTTCAAATTCCATGATCCATGTAAATGGATTAAATGCTGTCATCATCATAGGATTTGTTGACATCAGATATAATTCTTGGAAAATAAAATACCTTAGGACTTGGCTCTTCTACCTGAATAGTGTAGTTTTACAATATATTTTATAAATTATATAATCCTATGAATAAAGACTTTATAGTAAAACTACTGGTAAAGAAAACAGGGACTTTAGTCTGCTGGGTTTGTTTTCTTCTCTAAAATTAGAACTTTCCACTATTTCCGAATAATCCAGAAAACTTTATAAGAGGACAAAATGGGTACGTTTCAGTTGTTAGAGAAGATATTTTAATAAAGGATTTTATTAATTTTAAAGTTCTTCACAGTTTAAGACAAACATCCTCTACTTAAAATTAGTTACATTAAACTGATAGTCATGATTTTTTTTCTCATGAACTCACGTATAAAAATCAACAGTTTTTCTTCTTTCCTTTCAAGGAACTGTTAATTATTCTTTGCTTATTATTTTGTGCTATCCATGCATTTTTTTAAAATTATGCTTTTGGATGTCTGTGCTTTGGATTTTTTTAATTGGTTAAAATTTATTCCAATCCAGAGTAAATTCATTTGTTTACCAGGATCCAATCAAGCTGAGCATTTCAGTATATCAGTTTTTTAAAAGCTGCTTATTTACGAAAGGGTCTAACTTCTATAAACAAATCGACTACTTGGATTAGGGAAAAGAATTACCGATAACAAGGTACATAATTGAATCTAAATAGCTCCAAGTTGTTTAAGCACAATGATGAAAGAAATCAGGTAGTTCACTACTTATAGTTCCCATATCTCAAAATTAAGGGACATAATAATGCTGCTTAAAAAAAAAAAAAAAAAGATGTCTTATATTTCCTTTAGGCCAATAAAGACTTAAAATAAACCTCAATCATTTACATTTATCACTACAGGATTTAAAAAAAAGAATCTACTTTAAATTAAATTACATGGTAGAACAATAAAAAAGACCCACTAAAAATAAACTGAATTCTCACATAAGCCTATCTTCCAAATTGGTCATCTACCTCTTATATATAATAGAGCTATCTTACTTTAAATACATATTTTAATAAAGTATATTTTGAAATACCAAAAATTTGTTATAAAAACTCCACACGATGACTTTAAAACATGCACACTTTGTTTGCTAAAAATATAAAGACCCCCCCAAATGAGTTTTCTAACATTATAAACTCTGAGATAAATCAATTATCAGTTGGTATCTAATATTAGTATTATTAATACACACCCATAGTAATAACAGACTACAGTACACTTTCCTTCCAGTGTAAACGTATAACTGCTCATGAGCTGAGCAGTTATTGTGGAGAGGAGTTAGTGTGGAGAGGAGAGCAAAGTGAGTTTAGTTCAAAAATGAGCTCCTGTATATAAATATTAGTCCGATAGCATGGCATAACCTGATAAAAAGTCCACATATCTCATTGAAATTATTCAGCCAAACTCAACGTCATACTATAAAACAAATTCTGCTGATATTTAATGATCTGCTCACTTAGAAGAGGCCCTAAAGAACAAACCATCATCCTTTTAAAGGTCCTAAAGCATTGAATCTCAAGAAATGTGGCTCAAGATATGTTGTTCTGTAATCAGAAACACATCTCCCAGGAATAGAACTAACAATCCAATAATTTCTTTGACGTTAATTTGAACTCAAGGCCCGGATTTCTGCTGGTTCAAATTTGACCAGTTGGGACCTGAAAACCTCATTCTGATTCTCCTGATCTGTGGTAGATGGCACCCTCAAAGTCTTATCAAGGGAAGAAAAAAATGAAATGAAAGGGAAATTAATATGTCTTTAAAACAAAACAAATAAACAAACCAAACAAAAATTTTAAAACTCAGCAAGCAGATGTGTTGGTGGTAGCAGCACCCTTCAGCAGTACTCACGCAGAATCTACTGGCCAGAAGTTGATCAGAGTAACAGGACTGCAAAACAAAAAATGAGGTGGTGAAAAGACAAAGGCAAACTGAGCCGCACAAAAAAAAAAAAAAAAAATTACTGAAAGGTCAAAATAAATAAAATCCAACCAATTAAGTATGAACCATGGAAAGCTACAGCCAAACAAAAGTGGAAAGTGAATTAAAAGAAAAGCAAACAGTGGTGCGACTGCCACCAGCGTTATGGAGAAAAGAAGAGACAGTTTAAAAGAAGTGAAGACAACATCAGTTTGATCATGAGAATCATTACTACTTACTGTGAAGTAATTTCCTGTGACTATATTTTCTTTCAAGTAAAAAAAAGTGACTAGATATGACCACACAATCAGATCCAAAAAAAGACACACGTCTACGGATTTGTGAGGGAGAAAAATCAAAATGAAATATTGGAATCACTCGTTTGTAAACAGTCCCATATTTCTTAAAAAGCTTTGTAAGATAATTAGCAGTTGTAATGTGGTGCTTTCCCTGTGATAAACTTTTGGAAAAGGTAATTGTCCTTGGACAACTGACACAGCAAAATGGCGATTGAACATTTACGCCTGTTTGCTTTTTTTCAGCTAAAGTAAATCTAGAGAAAGAAATAGGAGAGACTGTTTGCATTTGGGAGTGAAGGACGGTATTCGGCTGAAAGGAGCTCAGATATACATCAAATGAGAGTCTGCTTTGCTTTTGCCACTACTCACGTTTCCATGTTGTCCCCCTCTAAGACAGTCTGCACTGGCAGGTAGCCCATTCGGGGATGCTTCGCAAAATACCTTTTGGTTCGAAATTTGTTTTTTAGTACCTTGGCAAAGTCACGAACATCTTCTCCTGATGTAGTCTGAAAGGAAAATAGCGCTGAGTTCAGACTTGGGAGAAGTATGACCTAAAGACAAGGGCCACTCCAGTGCTCCTCCTTTAGGCCACTGGTTTTCTAATTTCGGAGAGAGTAGGGGTTGAGAGCGAAGGCTCTGGAATCAGACACAACCAGGGTTTGGAAACCCACCCTGACATTTACTAGTGGGGTTAACTTGGATGAATGAGTTCTTTGCCTATCTGAGGCTCAGATCATCTGTGAAATGGGGGCAATCATACCTCAAGAAGTTGTGATGATGAATAAATGAAGTATCTCGACTACTAGGCTACTCGATAAATGGTGGTTTATAGAAGTCTTATAGTCGAAAAGTTAACCTTAAGTTTTGCCACACTTCATGGCATTTTGAAACTATTTTGTCCACACGGATACCATGTTTCAGCCACTAAATATCCTTCTATTCACTGCATGGTTCATTCTCTATCATTGAATACCTTTGCAAAAGGAATCAAAGCAAGAAAGACAATGAAAAAACTGGGAAGATCACTCTGAAGATGGAAGACAGAAGTACTCTAAAGCAGAGCTTCTCAAACTTTGATGTGTATAGGGAACCACCTGCAGATCTTGCTAAAATGCAGGTTTTGATTTAGAAAGGCAAGGGCAGGGGCCTGAGGTTCTGCATTTCTAATAAGCTCCCATGTGATTCCAGCGCTTCTGGTTGATAGACTATACTTTGAATAGCAAGCAGCTAGTGTTTAAGGACATTTTTCCAAAACAACGTCTTAGGAGAAGGCTCCACCTATTAATTCTAGAACCTTGGGAAAATTATTTAGCTTTGGGACCTGAGAGTCTTCATTTGTACAAAGGGGATAAAAATAATACCTATTTCACACAGGGTAGTTTGAAAGGTAAACACCTAGCATTTAGTTGCTAAGTGTTAGTATATAAACCAGATAAAAGATGAGCAAGAGATTGAAAGAAGTGGATTATGAATTTTGGGGAACTCACATTACACCCCCATACCCAACATGCCACACAGCCGTAAAACCTCTCCATGCAACCGATAGGGCTGTGCAAAAAAATGAAAAAATGCCTTCGTTTCAACCAATGCAAATGGAAGAAAAACCTATTTATTCACCCCAAAATATCTGTTGAGTATCTATAATGGTCCACATGTGCCAGGCATTGCCCTACACCCTAGGGATAAGATAAGTCCCTGGTGCCTACAATTTGGCATCACTTTAGCTGGGGAACATCTGGGGAACCATCTGGAGTAACTTAAGACATCACAGCCTTACACATGATCTGCAATACTGCCCCAAATGTAAACTTCTTCCAGGTAAAATAACTCATGTCGGGAGGCATCTAACTTACCGGAGTGCAGTATTCCACCATGGGATAGTGCATTTTATGGCCTTTTGCAACTCGACCAGAAAAAAAGCAACTTTGGCAGATGTCATAATTAAAGTGTTTTAGACTCCTGTACCTGGTAAAGAACAAAAACAAACACGTCTGTATTTCTTCAAATCCAATTCCCAAAGAGCACTCTTTTACAAACCGACTTCCACACTGTCTTAATTCTAGAAACAGACTGCACTGTTCATTAATCCCACAAGGCAAGTGATTAACTTCCTACCTCCAGATTTCTCTGGTGCTTCTCCTACAGTAGCAAAACATTTTGGCAGAAAGATTATCCTATAAACATATGGAAGGAGGGACGAAAAACTCAGCTCTTATTTAAACTTTACTAGGAACTCTCAGATTAAGTAAGAAGATACTGGCACACTTCCAGTCTTTTGAAGACCAAATACTAGAATTTGAAAGAACTTCCAGGAGAGAGAGCTTGATGCATTGCAGGCCCCCCTACCCATCATGGGGTCAAAATTTTCTAAATCCATTATTTAAAAAAATAAGGCTAAAGCAATTTCATAAGACAAAAGAAAATTAAGCAAGAACTTTCCATTAAAACAAATCTTGCTTTAATTACACCTTCGTACAGACTGACATGATTCATTTGCAGAGAGTTACTTGGATAATAGCTTTTATGTCTCTCTTCAGAAATCCCTCATCACATTACCCATATGATAACCGAAGCACAAAGAAAGGACAAAAATTAGATTAGATGAAGGAATTTATAATCTGTGAGTACTAGATGGTACATTTCCTCCCATTCACAGAACACTGTATTCTTTGTTTCATACTCTCTGCTTTTTGCTTTCTCAGATGAGAATCTTAGCCAATTTAAATAAACATATTCCTTGTGTGACATATGGGAATGTGGGGAAAAAGCTACCTTTTTTAGATCCCAACCATCTTTTGAGGAAGGGGGGTGGAAAGAGGAAAGAGAAGTGCTAATTCCTAAAATAATCTAATTTGATAAGGGCAAAAGAAGTGAATATGAAAATGTTCTTAGATCCTCCAAAGCATGTAATCCTCTCCCCTGCAGCTTCCCCTCCCCATCCCCCATGGTATCATTCTTATCTGCCAAAACCTAGGAAGGTAAGGTGTCCTTTGCAATCACTGCCTGCCTACTCAGTGTTGTCTATCTAGTCTTTAGAAACTTCCAAAGGTTTTTGTAAAACCACTTTGTAAACAACATGAAGTATGGAAGGACAGGAGCACACAAATGATACAAAGTAGTTATTAAAAAACAAGTCCAAGCATACCCAGGAAGTGTATTTACTTAGCTGCTAAGTGGATTCTGCACAGGCATAGACTATATAGCTAGTTTACAACTTTATGGCTTACTCATCACTAAGGAACCCTTGATGTTGATCCAGATGTTTAAATAGATCATCGTTTCAGAATTTAGACTTGGGGTTATTGTTCAATAAAATGGATTCATTTAAAAATATCCCACCTCCCCAAACAGGTCAACAAAGCTGAAGATTTAAGAGCCAATTGTTTTCCTTGACAGTTTAAGAATATCAGAATAATAATCCTCTGTTTCCCATCTCTTTCACTTTTAAATTTATAAGGAACATGTTCTTTTCTTAGCTGCTTTGTGAATCTTTCATTTGCTTGCATACTTTATATTCCCTTAGAAGTTCATTAGGATACTATGCAAAGAGCATAATCAGATTCACAGGTGAAGTAGTAAGTTCTAGGGTTCTTAAAAACAAATCTTGTTACTTTAGGTGGAATAAAAGTGGTGCAAAGTAAATGAGACACTGAGCTACCATGAAGGGTCTCCCAAAATAGAATCATCTCTTAGTTTTATAACTGATTCTTAGAGGGTTTCTATAAGCACAAAAGACCATGAAGAGAGAGAGGAGAGAGAGAGAGAGAGAGAGACAGAGAGAGACAAAGAGAGACAGAGAGAGAGACAGACAGACAGACAGACAGACAGACAGACAAAGACAGACACAAAATGTTTTGGGTCCAGGAAGGAGAAGGCACAGTTTATCTGTATATCCCTAAAGGACAAATGGACAAATATCTCAGTGGAGACAGGCAGTCAGTCCTGTTCACCGAAGAAGTGACTCTGTAGAGCTGAAGAGTGAATGAAGGTGGAAAGGGACACCTGCCTAATGAGTCAGATCCACCAAAATAACCCAGTGATCAGGGAAGTGACAAGAGTGATGGATATTCCAGCCTGATCACCTCCTCTCCCAATTTGAGGAGGAACAAACTAACAACAACTGGTACAGGAGGTAAAAGATCAAGTCATAAAAAGGTGAGAAATGATAAGAAAAAAATGACATTTTTTTTGGTTCCTAATACCTGAATCCGATGATTGGACACTCCTTGCAGATGTTACACTTGGCCTGATGCTTGGCAGTTTCCGCAGCAGCCACTCTGTGCAGGACAGGCAGCCACACCATGGACTGGGGTTCCAGTCTCATCCAGTCTAGGAAGAGAGCCGCTTCAATCTCAGGCTTATTGTTAGCCTGCAAAGACAGGAGGGACAGCGAGGGGGTGGGGGGGTGAAGAATTTGAGAAGAGAAAATGAGAAAGTAAAAGAGGCATATGTCAGTTCAGGTAATACATTAAAAGAAAGAAAGAAAGAAAGAAAGAAAGAAAAAAAAAAACCAGTAGTTGCACAGTGATGCCCACTTCCCCAGTTTATTTCTGCAGATGTCCTCCTAGCATTTATATGAGCCACCTATCCCTAAGGCTTTGGTAAATTGCCATTACTCTATTTGGCTACTAGATGACAACAAAGCAAAACAACAAAAAGCAAAATACACACCTGAGCAAGACTATATTTAGCTTTGGGTTTTGAACAGATAGATGAGTTAGCCAGAAGTAAAATCTAAGTGTTTATTGATAAAATTTCAAAGGAGGGGGGAAAAAAAAAAAAACCTCAAGAACTATTGATTCCCTTTTTCCCCTAAAGAATCTATTTCTCAGTGTGTCATAGAATCATAATGAAGAGGCTTTAAAATTCATCTGGTCCCAAAGATGCATTGTACAGACAAGACGCAGATGAGAGAAGTAGCGTTTCAAAGGCCACACTACTAACTGGTGGCACAGCCGATACTCGAATCCAAAACTCCAGCAGATCTAGTGCTGTTTTCATGGTGACCTGTTGTTTCCTTGTCTGTCTTCCTCTCAAACAGTACAATGATGTTAGAAAACTCGAAATATATTTTGCCATCACTTGATGTATGTATTACTATACTCATGCATTTTAATTCTATCTTGTTTTTTATTAACCCTACAAGACAGTGGTTTAATTTTTTATATTGTTAGACTGATCCATACACTGACCACTTTTGTTTGTTTTTTATTGCTTCCTTCATCTCATATCTTCCATCTGGGATCAGTTTTGCCTAAAATATCCTTTAGAATTTCCTTTAGCCAATGTTTTTTGGTGGTGAATTTCTCAGGTTTTCTTTGACTGAAAATCTCTTTTTTAAAATCTATATTCTTAACAGCTATCTTCACTGGGTATAGATTTTTAGATTGAAAGTTTTTGCAGGAGTTTTGTTTTTATTTTGTTGTAGCACACTGAAATATTTTTCTATTTTTATCTCACTTTCTCTGTTGCTACTGTTAAGTCAGCAGTAAAGCTGACTGCTGTTCCTTTGAAGGTACTCTATCCTTTTCTTGTCTTGTGTTGTGCTCCTAGGGTTTTATTTATACTTTATAGGATGAACTGGGCTTCTTGAACCTGTGGGTTAGTTTTTAGTCAGCTCTGGATACTTCTCAGTCATGATCTCAACAAATAGCGCCTCTTCTCCATTCTCTCTCCACTCTGCTTACAGCAATCTGAGAGATAAACGTAGACCTTTTCAATTTAATGTGCATTTCTCTGAATAGGACATTCCTAGTTTTCCCTTTTTTTATCCTTCGTGCTTCATTCCTGATAATCCTTTCTGCCTGGGTATCTATTCCTCTCCTTAGCAGCATTCAGTCTGATATAAACCCATATAGTAAGTTTTAAATGTGGGTTACTGTGCTTTTTAATATTTACAAATTCTATTTGGTCATTTTAAAGGTCACTTCTAAAGTTTGTGGTTCCCTGCAGATATTTTTTAATGGTCTGTTAAAAAACAAAAACAAAAACAAAACAGAGTAAACATAGTTTTCAAAAAAATTGTCTCTAATGATTCCAAAATATGAAATTACCAGGGGTCTGCTTCTGTGGACTGTTATTTCTGCTCATTTTGATTTCTTGTATGCCTTTTTTTTCTTTTTTTTTTAACTACGTACTACATCAACCTTAGAGGTGCCTTCTCTAGAAATGATTTTCATTTGCTTTTGCCAAGAGCCAAAGGTTACTACTTATTCTAAGACCAATTAAACTGAATATGTGACAGATATGTAGTATCATACAGGCAATGAGTATCTGAACTGCAAACTCATGTTGCTTCTCTTGGAATCCAGTTTGCTAAGAAAGACTCTATTTGCATTTCAGACAGAAAGGCAGGAGGTTTTGAACCAACAGGTCATTTGGCTGGCAACACTCTCCACTTCAGCAGTACTCCAGTCATTACCCCTGATTACAAATTTAACAACATTATAATGAGTTGTTTAACCCTGAATATCCAAGCTGCAAAATGATACCAATTCAAACTACTAATAAAAGCTTTTGGTGAGCACTTTTCTCTGTGTAGGGTGCCATTACAGAGGTACTTTGTAGAAGATTTTTTTAAATATAAAAAAGTTATTATAGAGCCTTTGGGCCCAAACCGCCATTTTCCAGTAATTCGCCAATATGACCAACACAAAGGTAAAGGGGAAAGGCACCCGCTATATGTTCTCTGGGCCTTTTAGAAAACATGGAGCTGTTCCTTTGGTCGCATACATGCGAATCTACAAGAGGTGATATTGTAGACATCAAAGGAATGGGCACTGTTCAAAAATGAACGTCCTACAAATGTTACCATGGCAAAACCAGAAGAGCCTACAGTGTTACCCAGCATGCGGTTGGCATTGCTGTAAACAACGAAGTTAAGGGCAAGATTCTTACCAAGAGAATTAATGTACGTATTGAGCATATTAAGCACTTTAAGAGCCGAGATAGCTTCCTGAAAAGTGTGAAGGAAAATGATAAAAATAAAGGAAGCCGAAGAGAAAGGTACCTGGGCTGAACTGAAGCGCCAGCCTGCTGCAGCCTGAGAAGCGCGATATGGGAGAACCAATGGAAAGAGCCTGAGCTGCTGGAACCCATTCCCTCTGAATTCATGGCATGGTAAGTGTAAAGAAATAAAAGACCTCCAATGGAGTAGGTGTCCCCCGCCCCACAAAGAAATATTTAAAGAATAAAGAATTATAGAACCTAAAGATGAAAGGGACTATGCAAGTGATTTCATACTTTTGGAATGGTGCCACAAGAGCCCAAACTCTTACTAATGCCAGTGTGTTCTTATAGCTACTGTATAAAAACCACCCATGTGCAAAAGCAGACATCTTTAACGGGCGATCTTGAACATTTACGTACAGAGACTCCTGTTAAAAGTGCTTCTTCACCTTGAGCTGAAATCTACCAGCAAATAGGATTTGAGGCTCCAGAGTCCAACCACGAGAGTTAAAACCCCAGCTTTGCCACTTATTGGCTGTGTGATCTTGGGAAAATAACTCTATCTCTGTGTCTTAACTTTCTTCTGCCATGAAACTGAACTATTAATAGTGTCTACTTCATATGATTGTTGTAAGATTGAAATGATTAACAAGTGAAAGGCACTTGGAACAGTGTCTGGCACATAGCAAGAGCCATGTCAGTGTTTGCTATTGTTATAGTGATTATTATTATCCATCTGACCAGAAACCCAGAAATTTTCAGCCTTTATCCAACCCTTTAAATATTTTACTTGAGCTGTCAAGTCTATCCATTCCTTTTCATCCCTATTCCTTTTATTTCTTCCTCATATGACATGGCTTGGTTTGCCATTGTCTTTCACAAAATTATTCTCCAAATACAATCTGCTGGACATGGTACCTCCATTTTTCTGGACAATATAATTGGATGACTCGGTTTTCTTCTATACTATAGGCTCACAGAGGGTTTTCATTCAACTAAAATCTCTGGGTCAGCGTTTCCCAGTGTGTCCAGCAGATCAATTATCCATCAAAACGCTTCTTGAAGAGGTCGAGTTATTTAAGGAAACATGGCACGTTATGCCCACCTCTTAAAATTCTTAATGCATATTAATATATTAGAATATCAGAATATATTAGAATATAATATTAGAAGCTAAGAAGTTCGTTGGTAAAGAAATACATTGAACTTTGACCTCAGAATTTCCCACACTTGTTATTCAGTGATCCCAAGATTTTTATCTTCGATCCCAACCTCTTTATTTTTTTTTTTTTTTTTTTTTTAACTTATAAGGCCTATGAACACCACAAGGGACTAATGCTCTGTTGGGCATGAAGGAAAATGCTGTTTTGAGCTGTTTCCAGTGATTTCTCCATTCTGTACTAGTTCATTTGGGGTTTGTTTCCTTTCACTTCTGTCAAGGGCTGTCCCGTCATTTTGGGCTCATTTTGGGCCCACTGTACAAGCTCATATCTTTACAAATCTGACTGTTACAACCAACAAATTAGCCAACTTCGTATAATTTTTACATTTTAAAACATGTGTTCTGCGTGTTCTGTCTTCATGAAAAATTCACTGGTGAGAATATCAAACAAGCCAAGGTCAAATGTGAGCCACACCACCAGAGGCTGCACCTCAGGTCAAAACAAATCCACCATTCAGCCCTCTCTGGCTGTTGAAGTATGATTTTTCTCGGTTATATCAATGTCTAATCTCTACTGTACATGTTTCTCCATCTTGTACACAAAGACACAATAGAGACTTTGTCAAAAGAACTATAAAATTCAGCTACAGTATGTCCTATAACAATATCTTGCTCCACTGGTCTTGAAACTGACTTTATCAAAATAACCCTTTGTAGCTAGGAGACAAACCATTATAGAAAGGCAGGAAATTGAAAAGCACTACTAATTCATTCCTATTTAAAACAGGGGTTTATCGTTGCTTAATCTGAACCTATCTATTTCTTCTGACTTAGGTTTAGATGATTGTTTAATGATGGATTCAAAGACATGCTGCAGAGAGTAAGAATTCATGCTTAATACAGAAAATGTAATATAAAAGAAAGCTTCTATGCATTCCAGAAGACGGAAAAACAATCTGACTATGAGTCAGCAGTAAATGTAGGTGTAAAAAAAGAAAAAAAGGAAACACCACGTCTGTGATGTATAACTAAAGGCACAGCAAGTATTTCACGGAGAAGTGACCTCATTACCCTCAGTACTGTTCAAACCCTTTTTAGAAAATGGTATCTAGTTCTGGTGGCTACAGGTGACCCAGAACCTAGAGAAGGCTTGGCAGAAAGCACAACGATAATTAAAAGGATTGAAAGACCTATGAGAACAGCTTAAGAGAATTGGGATTATTTAGCCATAGGAAAAAAGAGCAAGAAAGTTAGCCGAA